ATATACCCTTCACGAAGTGCAGGGTATAAAAAAGCTTTAAAATATTAGGTATTTTCTTCTACCAAAGAAATTAAACTTATCTTTCTAGTTATTCAAATTTTAAAAAAATTCGATGCTTCAAAAATGATCAAATTGGAATAAAGTTATTTTTGTGCTCACCGTTAAATATGGACTGATTCATTAGGACTCGCCGTGTTAAAATTATGTACATTAATATACAATTTAATGAAGAAAGGGAAATTAAAAATTAGACGATAGATAAATAGTCATTAAGTTGCAAAATATAAAAATTTCTATCCATATGCCTGCAGTAATTATTCTATGAGTAATAATGTGATATGAAAGTGAACTTAAATTTTACAAAGTTCTTGCAGTTCTGTATGTCATGTTGCTTTAATCTAAACCTGTATAATATACATATTTGGTATGAATATATTAATGTTCTGTAAAAATACATTATTATTGAAATAAAATACTCGTCGTATGTACATTACATTCTCTATGTATAAGTGTAAAAACCCAACTAATGCTGTGAAGAATAGCGGCGGACTATTTCCATTGTAAGCAAATAACTACAACAATCCGGCAAAATTAAGTGCCAGTATTTTGCATATAAAACTGTACACTCATGAAAACAGATGATGTCAAAAAAAAACGGATAGCGGTAAAACAGATTTTAGGCTATTTCAACGCCAAGGGTAAACTCCGCTGTGTTCATTCTGCTTCACTCGAGACAGTCCAATTTATATATTATTATGCATATTCTATATGAGTTTTGAAATTTTGTCGTGGAAAATCGCTCTTGTTAAATATATTACAGTACACTTTCAGCGGTATGTAGGAAGGTGTTCTATTTATGTCAAAATTTAGAAGTTTGCGTTGACTTCATTTGTGAAGAAAAGGAATGTTAATATGGTATTGAATATCTATCTATCGCGTTCTTTTGCTTACTTTATTTACAAAATGTGTATATGAATGTTAAAGATTTTATGTTCAACTATTCTGCAAAAGAATTAAATGCTATTTACTATACGCATGTAAGCATAAACATGCACATCACATAAATAATTTTTACCGACCATATTGTGTGTACAATAAGGTAAATTATGTGATGGAAACGCATTTCTCCATAGTAGGTAAATAAACTATTTTTAGCAACTTGTCGGTCTGGCGATCTGTCGGTCAATGTGTGCACGCGTGTATTTTGATGAAATTTTATATGCAAGTTAATTTCGACTATGGCGCGGATTGATCAACTTTTGGGATATGTCAGGCCTGGGGAACTGCACTTTTTAGAGGGTCTGTTGTACATTTTCGATCATTTTAAAGAAAATATTCAACAGATTTACTTGAAATTTCATATATGAGCTTTGTACGACCGTACGCGAAACCTCCCAACTTATGGAAGAAATCAGGCAACTTCTGCACGTCAGCAACTGCACCAAATTTACTACGGGCCAAATATACGTTTTTGCCTATATAAAGAGAAATAAACAACCGATTTCATTGAAATTTAATATTCAAATTCGAGGTGTTAAAACAATGAATCTATAAATTTTTTGGAAATTTCAGAGCTCAGAAACTGATCTACGGAACGAATTGATGGAATTCCTTGAAATTTAATATTTCAGTTTTGGTTGTTACCAGAAGTTACTCACGAACTTTTCGTATAATTCTGATGGCACAAAATGAAATACTACTAAGAGCTAAATTCACACTTTTCTAGGTATGTTACCTAAAAGGTTATTAGTGTCCTCAAACTTGCAAAACGCATTTGGATAATCTTATGGAATATTTTTTACTAATCTACACAATATACATTGCGGTCGATTATGTGCTGATTACATCAGATTTTTTTCTATTCTATCACCATATAAATATAAGTGATTCCTTTACTTTGTTTTGTCAAGCCAATTAAACTAATAAAATGAATAAATATTACATAGTAAATTCTTTGAAATATACATTTACTAAACATTCAAATTTTTATCTTGAAGTAATTGAAAATCCATATAATATAATTATAATAATATTTTAATTTAGTTCCAAATTTATTTTGGAAAAACTATTAATTTATAATAAAACTAAGTAAAATAAACCCACATTACCTATTCAATAAATTTATATCAGTTTCTGAAGTAAAGGCAGTCAGTTGTAAAATCCAGACATAATTACATATGTATAAAAGTAAATACAAGCACCGTGATATATGGATATATTTTATGAACTTGGTTTAGGAACTATTATCGCTATGACCGAAAAAAAAAATTTTAAAAAATATTGGAATTATAACATTGAACATCGAAGCGAATTAAAAAAAAATCAACCACATTTGAAAATATTACTTTGTACTATCGTATAATTTTTCGCATTTTTTTTTTTATCATTCACATACATACTTACATATGAAATTATGCAACTTCATATATAGATAACACTTGACATAAAAAGCGAGTTGCATGATGAAAAAAGTTAAGAACAAATACCTACATTACTGTGGATATACATAACGTATAATTTCATACATTACTGTGTGTGAAATCATATTGTGCGGGTTCATTTGTTCTTTTTCTTCTCTTTGTTACTCTTTTTCAAAAAATTTTGGAAAAAAATTGATTATTAGTTTCACTCTGTCCGTTCGTCCGGGGACGTGTTCAATTAAAAACTTCTTATTTAAAATGGAAAGCTAAATTTTCATTTGTACATAGATCTTTACTAGAAACTTGTTTTCGTAGAAGAAAATTTTTACCTATTTTCCATTTGAAATACCATTTTTTGATTATTAATTGTAACTAAGCTGTAAGCATTTTTGAAATTATGGCAACGAAAATAAGTGAATTTTAAAAAAATCAAAAATTAATCTTGGCTCTTAGATTTAAACATTAACTTTAGCCCTGTTTCATTTCTTTTTCCTCATTCCGCATAACGTTGTGTGCAATCCTTGAAATATTTCAGTTATGAATTTAAAGCAATTGTAACAATGTAGATTGTTTTTAAAAGCAGTATTTTTACTTACTTACTTACTGAATTAAGAAAGAGGACAAACTTGCAAACCGTTGGTTTTACTCAACTTTATTTATTTCTTTTGCTTTGCTGTGTAACAAAATCAATATCCGGTGCAAATTTCATCGAGGCCATAGTTTGGTATCTAAATTTTAAAAAATTTATGTTTTTTATTATATGTGTGTAAAAACTTGTATTTCATTTATTCATTTACTTCAAGTGCAGCAATATAGGTATAAATGTAAATAAATGCGTTCGTTTTGTATTATTTACTTATTATTTGCTATTTCTTCACATATTTAATTGTGATTTATATTTTATGATTTACAAAGTGTTTCAATCTGCCGGAAAGAAATGCAATCATATTTTGTGATAAGAGATAATTATCTATTTAAAAGCAACAGCTTATATATTAAAAAAATTAAAATTTCTTACTGTTAGTTAAAATTCTGAAACTAACATGAAAATAACACCATATTTATTAGATTCAAATATTTGTTGCCAAATCTAATGTATTAATAAATAAAGTTGGGTCAAACCAATGGTTTGTATTGTAGCACTTTTCCCTTCAACAAGTGAAAATTCTGCTTTTAAATACAGTCTACGAGTATGTATACCTATCACACTATTAAAATTATTTTCATTCATATACAAAACTATTTCTAGGATTGCATATGTTTAGGATAAACGATTTATGCAGTCTTTGAAATAAAGCAAAAATTAATATAAGCAGGGGTTAACATAATGCTCGATTTTAAGGGTTAATTGTGTGAGTTAAGAAAAATAATTATATTTTTTAATATCATAAAATTTACCGTTAACTTTTTGCGTTTATAGAAATTTGAAAAAGCTTGCGGTTTCGGAAATATAAGGTGGCGAAAATGCAAATTTTACAAATTTCAAGAGGCCATAACTTGAGAGGGGGTGGAGATGAAAAAAAATTTTCTTCTAACGAAATGAATTATTTATTAATGTCTAAAAGCCGCTAAAATTTCAAAGTTCTACATTATGGGGTCTAGAAGAAAAATGAGATCAAAAATTTGGAAAAAAAGGACTTTAGATAACGGTAAATTTGAACGGCCATTTTGTTTTTCTAAAGTTTAACTATAGTATATCGCGCTAGGGAAGGCAAGCTACTGCCTTTCTGCGTTTGCAAAATTTCAAAAATGCTTATGGTTTCATTGCAACAAATAGTTAAAATAGGCTATTTTTAGTGCTTTGGGGGGGTATAACTTCTAGAGGGGGGAGATAGGTAAAAATTTTGTTCTACGAAAATAAGTTTCTAGTAAAGATCTATGTACGTATTAAATTTCAGCTTTCTATCTTTAAGAATGTAGAAGTTTTGTAAACAGACACACGGACAGACGGACGGACGGACGGACGGACGGACAGAGTGAAACTAATAAGCACTTTTTTTCAAAAAATTTTTGTTCAATTTAGCACAAAAAGTGCTAAAAAGAACAAAAATCTTAGCAGTCCACAGAAATTTTTGATAAAAAATTAAATATTTTACGACCCAAAACTTTATGAAAATAAAAATCGATAATTTGAGGGACTAACTACATTTAGTAAAATAATACTAGTAATTAAATGAAATAAATGATATAAATTTCAAACAAATTTAAATTTTGGTTAAAAATTCTATGAGACATTTCTCGCTATAAGATTAACTTTGCGAGTGAGTAATATTAAAACTCACCTGACGGATTCGCTTTCACTGTGGCACGAAAACTCAACAAACTTTATTTTTTATTAACAGACAAATAAATAAATATTAATAAATAGTGAGAGTAAATAAGTATATACTCGCATACAGCAGCTTCAATGCAGTACAGGGTGTGAAGAATTGGACACATACGAACTGGAAGTAATAAGCAACATTTTCTTTTTCTTTTCTTCTGAATTAAATCAAAATTTGAAGAAGAAATGAAGCATTTTTTTCCCATCCTGTATACAAAAATAAGTGTATTCCTCATAATGTATTACATATTGCATAATCAATAATTCAATCGACCCAATAAAGAATAAACATAGATATTTAGTTTGTTGGCATAAGGTGTTTTGGTAAACATAAAGTTGGAAAAAATTCGATAATGAAATGAAGCTACCTGGGAATCTTTAAGTCCTAATCTTTCAGCTAATTTCTTTCTGTCCGGTTTACTAATATATTTTTGCTGTTGAAAACGTCTTTCCAAACCTTTTCGCTGAGAGTCTGAAAACAAATTACGTAACAGCGATCATTTAACAATATTTGTGAATTTGAGAATTTTAACCAAAGGTATTTCTAAAACTTGCTAATATACTCTACCTGAAAAAACGGCCCTTCTCATCATACCTCTGCGAGGTTTCCCTCTTGACGAATGTGCCCACGGAAAACCTTGACCTGGAGCTAAGGGGAAAACTTGTGGCCCACCAACTGAAAAAGTATTTGAGATAAAAATTTTTTTTGTGCATTTGTATTTAACACATTTACCATTTAAATAAGGGTTCCTGCAATGTGCGAGAAGTGAATTTAAATTAGTATGACTTAAACCATGAACTATAAATGGTGACGGCCTACTAGGCAATGGTTTTGCAATGATTTGCTTCCGCTTTTGTTGATTGTCATCACTTAAACTATTTCCACTTTCTGCTACGTGTGTGTTTCCAGCGTCAATACTATTATTAATCAAATTACAGCTTGATGGTGCAGTTAATTGTTGACAATTATTGTTATTTGAACTTAAAAAGGCAGGATGAGAAAATTGTGTGTGATGCATGAAACTTTGATGTATATAAGGCCAAATATGTTGTGGTTGAATAATTTCTAAAATAAAAGAAAATTCTTGTTAATAATACAAACACTTATATGTTTTTAAAATTACGATTGTAATGTAATTTTGTGATAATGTTGCGCAAAGTATGCAAATACATAAATGTTATTTAACTTGAACCAATATATGAAGCAGGTAGCTGGAAAGTGCAATTGCGATTCCAGTAGACAAATCAAATGAGAAAAGTAAATGCAATGACTTTTGCTAAGGTATATACATGCTTCAATTAAATTTTTACCGCCGGCATCTTGAAGGCAAACAGATATGAAAGAAGAATTTTTGCTGTCTAACAAAATTACTTCATGCAGAAACAAAAAAGGCCTTGTAAACCATATCCACAATAGACGTTGCAAATTTTAATTTAAATATTATTGTAATATTTTTTCTGTTTAATTATGAATTTTTATGTATGTTATATAAAATAAAAAATATAAAAATCATATTAAATTAAAAACATGGCAGCTGAAAAGTGCAGCTGCGATTCCAGTATGAGACAAAGCGAATGAGAAAAGTTAATGCAATGACTTCTCCTAAGATATATACTCGTAGTTCAATTAAAATTTTATCACCGGCATCGTGAAGGCAAACAGATATGAAAGCAAAATTTCTGCTGTCTAATTAAATTACTTCAAGCAGTAGCAAAAAGCGGCCTTTTTTCTGTTTTATTATGAATTTTTGTGGAGATTAATACCTTAATTACTTTATTTTACTAGAAAAATTATTTTACTTTATTTTAATAAAAGACGATATTTCAATATTATGTAACAATGATTTTATAAAATTTCTATTTTAATTACTGATCACTCTACTTGCGTATCAGCATAATTGTTATAGGTGCAACGTGACCGTTCAAAAAATTTTTGTGTGAACTAATTTTGAAGGTAGATGTGTTCACGATTTCACAATTTTTTTAAATAAATTTTTTTTTGTGAAAAATATGAATTCGTCTGAATAATGTGCAACGTTGTTAGATATTTCCTCTTTAATTAATTTTATTTTGTATTGTAATTTTTGTATGAACAGTTTAGTTGTACTTTGTGTATTGGGCTCTTTATATTTTCTATAATTTGGTTTGTAATTTGTGTTAAGTGCTTGAGCCTATCTTTGAAAGTAGTGTTTATTAGAGTAGATTTGTTCGTTTTCATTTAATCATCACGAAGTCATCGTGATCGGGTGATTTTCATCTATTTCCATGTACTTCGGCGGCAAATATGAGTACACAGTGTGATTCTGTATTGATTTGTTAGAAAGAAGTGTTTCCAGCTGCGTCACAGCCTCCCCAATTACGGTTACATCTGTCACGTAGATTACTCTGCACTTCCCCTCTTCCCTTTTCGCTTCTACGAGTTCTACAGTAAGCACATAAGATCCGGTCTAATCTAAAATTTGCATGTGCGATATGCTTCTGGTCATCAAAAATCTGAAATATAAAGTGGTAAGAAAAGATAACGAAAAATTTGAATTATGGAAGTCACATAAAGAGTGGAATGGAGAAAATAAGAGTTGATTCGCTATATTATCCTGACCTTATATTAGATTTATGCACCATTTTTCTCGATGTTGTAATTACAGTGGTGTTCCTATTTTCTTTTACTTCATGGTGATGTTCTTCTATCTTCCCTTTTATACTTAACCGTTAATTTAGTGTCCAAACTCTTATTATGCCTAACATAATTGATTTCATCTATGTCGTATTGTTGAAAAGGTATCTATTTTCTATTATAATAATTTAAATCAATTTTTTTTCTGCTTATTTTTTTTGATGTTCATCGATGACAAGTCCTTTTGAATTCCTCTGGCGAAATATTTGGTATTCTTCTCAGAAATAATTTCGATCGGTGTTTCCCTTGTAACTGAATGAATAGTATGGTTATAAATAGAATGGTATGGTTCACAGCCCGTTGCAACAGTTCTTAAAATTTTGTTCTGAATTTTCTGCTTTCAGGCAACACATAATTTCTGCAGATGTTGAATGTGCTCCTTTAATTTTCGTCCGTTTGACTCCCTTCTATATGGTGGTACGATGTACACCTTGACTTCAAACTCATCCTTCGTCATTGCTTGATCGAAGCTGAATTCAATAACTTTTAATTTTGGATTATCACAGTCTAATACCAGCTGAACGAGTCGAATATCTTTAGTTGATCGGCTTTTTATAATTTTCATTTGCAGGAACTTGGTGAGTTTATCAATTGCAGTGATGGTTAGCTTTGATTCTGTTGAGAAAATATCGATGTTTAAAGTATGTCCTACGAAGGATGGGGTTGGTGTTTCTGCTATTTCAGGCTTATTGGGGTGCCTATCATATTTATTTTTTTTGCAGATTGTACACATTGCAACTAATTTTTTAATTGTGTTCGTCATTTTAGGAGAATAACAAATCTAGATAATTTATACCCTATTATCTGCGGCATTTCTATGAGCGCGTTTATGATTTGCAATTATAATATCATATTATAATATTTTCGGATTCATCGGTTTTATTTTTCACCATTATTCGAGTGAATCTAATTTTATAGTTTTCAAAGTGTTTGGTGTAAATTCTTTGAACCTGCCCCATAGTGGCCTCATCCGTCTTAATTGCATTTATAATATTTGGATTCAAAAATTTCTTTAAAAAATCTATCAAACCATTTTCTGAAAACTGTATTTGAGGTATGTCTATAGTAGTTTTTTAAAACTTTTTACTAATTTATAGTGATCGTTATTATTATTTGTATATTATATACAAATAATAGTGTAGCTGATTATTATTTGTATATTATATACAAATAATAATATTGTAGTTTAAAAACGTTTGTTGGTGTATCTATTGATTGGATATAGTTGTGAGATTAGCTTTCTGCGCTCTGTTGGTTTGCGGGTAAACTAAATATCTGCGAATCTGGTGCGAGCATAGAGAGTTATCGACCATGACTTTATCCAGTTTATACCTGATTTAATGGTTATACTGTTCTACGATAGCTTGCCATTGCTTTACTTTGCTATTGGAATTCTTATTACTCGGAGCATATGAGGGAGGCTGATGATCGGTTTAGATTATAACTCTCCTTGCTCCATATAGGTAAATCCTGCGAGAAGGCAGAGACCACTCAATTGCTAGATCTCCTCTTAGCAATTGTGTCTCTTAAAAGGTCTCCTCCCCTGAGATAGGACTGCTGCGATCGCATGGTTTGAAGCACCCGTCGTCAACTTAAAATCATTACTGAAATCTGGGTAGTTAAGCATTACTTCCTCCGAGATTAAGGAATTATTTCACTGCATTAATTCTGCCTTTTCTTCGTCGTTTAGAGTAATTAGTGTATTTCTATATTGAGATTTGAACATACGTCCACCTTCTTTTCTTAAAAGAGATATCAGAAATTTGAGATTTTCGCGAAATGTTGTATGAATCTTTTGTAATACCCGGACATTCTTAGAAAGGATCTTACTTCTTTTAAATTTTTGGGTATCGGTATGTCGCATATGCTTGCACTTTCTTCGTATTGGTTTTAAGTTCTTTCTCCGATACGAATAAATCCCAAGAACTTCATTCTTAAGGGATTCAGATTTATCCAGTTGTACTTTCATATTCGCTTTACTCAGTGTATCAAATATGACCTCTAAGCTCTCAAAAAGTTTTTCTTAATTCTCTCCCAGGATGATTATATCGTCTATAGAGACGCAACACCTTTTACCGATGTCTTGTCTACGAATGTCATCGACAGAAGGTTTTCATCGGGATCAGCAAACAAGATGGTATACTTTTTCACGAGAAGATCAAGTCTTTCTTTTTGGATTGAGTTTAAATAGGATGTATGAATTTCTATGTTATTAACTGTTTGTGTATCGTACTGCTTAAAAGGTATTTGTATATTATTTATTAATTTTAGATAGCTTTTGTTAGTATAGATGATTTGGGTTATTACTCTTGTTCGTCATATTATCTAACTTTAAACTTAATTGAAGTGCTTGGAGCAGACCTTGCGATTCCTTGATTCTAAACAATCTAGGTAAATCGCTATGCTAAATACTTCATAGTTAAATATGCCTCTTGTGACAAATCCATGCTTTTCAAGAATAAACGTTAGGTGTTGATATACTAGCATGTAGAATTTCTGTATTATTCTACTCCTTAGCCTAAACCTGTAAGTTGGTGGTCTAGTGTTCCAATATCACTGTTGTAGCAATTGTGTAGATTTATACATTTAGCCATTTTCCCCCAATTTAATAGGGTAATGTGCCCTCAGCACCCTGTCAGCGTTCCCTATTATCTTCTTTCTGATAGCACTCCTTCCTACTCCTTCCTTGTTAAAATCAATTAGGAAATCGTCCTACTCTTCCAATTTTTCATCACTACACTCTTTAATTCATTTGCAATTACAATTTATTTTTACACCCCTCCATTGTAAATTCTTCTTGCTTCATGTTTTATTAGTTCTCTAATAGATTCAGAGATATTTGCGCCTTGCCCATCGAGTACATGTTCCGGTTCATTTTAGTTCACGATTTGGGGTTCTTTGTCAAAATCTGCATTATGCCTGATGCGGCTTAATTTTGGCCTCAAATTTTCGAGAGTGGATGTCATTACAAATGGAGTTGAAAGCGCTCTCGGTTTCATATCAGATGCTTTCGAGGGAAAATAGAAGAGATTGATTTTGATTTTTTATGTTAGAAGAAGCCGAAAGGTATAAAAAATTAGGGACAAAATAATCAAAGACTTAACGGCAATTTGGTTATTGGAAATTCCAAGAGAGATTATGACTCTATTATAATGATTTTTTGTAGTTTAAAAACCTTGAAGACTTTGTTGTAATTTTATTCAGTGCACGTTGTAATAGTTTATTATGGAGATTTAGAAAAAATCTTTGTTTTAGGAACATGCCACACAGTCTAAGGTATGATTCAAAATTTCTCACTTATTCTTTCCTTACAAAATTTTGCTTATTGTTTTTAAATAAGTTACAAATGATTCTGTAAATTGGTAATTAAAATTCTAATTATATTGAAAAAA